GCATCATTACGTATGTTGCAATTCTGTTAATCATTTGTCTGTCAATATATTGCATGGATATCACGATATTGCATATAAATTGTTCACATAGTCCCCCACGCAAACTGTAATTACTAAAACGAAAATATTCTCCGAAATAAAACTAATAGCACCGATAGATTAGACTGCATATATTACAGGTGTAGAAACTAATTTCGGAAAAACTATTTGCACCCGTCGCTTGGCGCGTGTAAACGGCTAGTATGTGTCACAAATGAAAATTCTGATACCTTGTAAAACCCTTAACAAAGATAACATTGTAGTTAAAACTTGGAAATCATGTATGATGCTTGTTCAATGATCACAAATTCCATCAAATACCCTATACACAAACATTCAAGTAGTCAACAAAGGTTGGAAACCTTAAAAATCCCAGTTCAAGTCCATTTTGGACTAGGATTTTCTTATTGGGCCTAATGGACCAATAAGCTTCCAATTTGACTATTTTGGGCTTAGAACTCTTACATGGGCTCTAATTGGACCCACTTTCTTTTATTTTAACATTTTGGGCCATAATGGGCCTGGAATGAAATAAAATACTGTAATTGGGCCACAACAATTTTAATTAGCCCTAAAGGGCCATAGAACTCATACTTTGATTTATTTTGGGCCGTGAACCATCTCCAAAGACCAATTGGGCCGAAAATCATCAAAATGGGCCCATATTATGGACTTAAGCACAAAAGGCCCAAAATCTTCTTTCTCTTCTCTCTTTCTCGGCCCAAGAAGAAAATAAAAAAAAATGGAAATTGATGAAAAAGGAGGGTTAGCCACCTCCTTATTACATAATGGACATCCATGCAAAACCTCACATGTCTCCATGCACCATCCTATCACTCCTCTCTCTTCTCTTTCTCTCCCTCTCCTCTTATTTTCGGCCGAGAGGTCACACACACACACAAAAATTCATTCCAACTCTTTCCAAATTCTCTCAAGAACACTTTCACTTCTCCTTCAAAATTTTTCGAGATTAAGAGCTTTTCAAGGAGGTTATTCCACAAAAATCATCATCTTAGGGTAAGTTGATGCTTGGATCCATGATCTAGATTCTTTGTTTTATCAAAAATCTCTTCTTAACTCATATAAACTCATGATCATCATCCTAGAAACCTCTAAGATCGAGATCCACCCAAGAAGGCTTGCTAGGACCAAACTTTCTTCATTTCTTCCCTCAAAATCGAAAACAACAAGCAAAGGTGAGTTCATACCCCTCTATTTTCGGTTTCACAAGTTTAATGGGGGAGAATACAAGTAAAATGTGTAGATCTATGTGTATGTGTATATTATGTGTGATTTCATGTATGTATGTGTGATTTTATGTGTTCATGTGGTAAATATGTAACAAAAAGGGAAGAAATCTCGAGATCTATGGAACAAGAAGGGAAACAAACATGATCTAACATATATTTCACTAAACAAGTCAAGAAAAACTTCTATCCAAAGTCATAATAAACATATTGCAACATAAAACTCACTTTTGGGCTAAAATTGTCAAATAAACAAAAATGGGATTGAAATTTGTCATTTACGGTTTTCTTAAGAATTAAAAGAGTCAAAACAGTAAAAACAAATGTTTTTATGAGTATTATACTCTTTAAAGGACTAGAAATGTAAATTGTAGCTTAATGGGCTAATTTTTGGGCTTTTCGGCCCAAAGGCCCAAAAATTGCAAAAATACGATTTTTAAGGGGCTGAAATGGTACAATTCTCGAAACAGGGGGTAAAAGGGGTAAACAAAACTATTTCAAGGGATAAAATGTTTTTCTTTTCCAAAAAGGATAAAAATGTAAAGTTTTTGGAATTTGGGCCAAAATTGTAAAAGTTGCGAAAAAGTTGGACTTTAACCGAAAGACTCTTTGCTGGAAGGGCTAGAACTGTCAAAGAGTAAATTTTGAGCTAAAAACATTTATTTAAACAAGTCTATTGGTCAAAAATGTCAAGAAAATGAGTTAAGGGCCAAAAATGTCTTTTTCTTTATGTAAGGGACCAAAATTGTCATTTTTATTAAAAAAGGGCTGAATGGGTCAAATCAATATTTTGAGACAATTATTTTGGTTTTAAGATATTTGGGTCAAAAGAATACCAAATTACAACTTATGAAAATAGAATGAAGAATATACATATATTTTCAAATATCGTTATAAACAACCGACAAGTTTCGTGCCGTTGCGAATTTAACAAATTGTTCAATCAAACTTTCCAACAATTATACTATACCTAAAACAAGTAAATATCCAAATAGTTGGGCTTGAAAGATCCTAATCATGCTTATTGGGCCTTCGTGGCCCATTGACATGACTTTTGGGCCTAACACTAATAATAAATGTTTATTTGGCCTCCCGTGACCCAATTACATGTTTAAGGGACCCTCAATGGCATATATATGCTATTGGGCCTTGGTGGCCCATTAGCATTGCTAGTAAGGTCCAAATTAAATCAAATATGAAATGGGCCAATGCGTCCTTCGTATAACCAACAGCCTTAAATAACACACGTGATAAGAAGGACTTTGTATTCCTTTTCTCCTCGTTTGTTAGGCTTATTTGAAATCAAAGTAAACAAAATCCAGGTCGTTAATCAATAGTAATCAATTTTGTTTGGATTAAGTGAGTAATAACGGGCGATACTTCTAAGGGTCGTTCGTAGTCTGTAGTTATAATCAAAGTCTCTTGGAAGGAGAGCGAGAGTTTGTGTATAGATCTATACGGGGGTGACTCCCCCACACCTCAGCTGTTCGCTACAGTTAGACTTGGCCAGTCTAGGGTGACAAAATCTTAAGATCAATTCCGGCATACATTAGGATGCCAAGACAGACGAACTAGTCATTATTATGCATGGTTATAACGACTCACGTAATTAAATAAATCCAATACCATCCGAGTAATCAAGGAAGAGTAATCAAATTCATTCGTTGTGGCGATATACAATTTGAAATAATTATATTATGTTATCGGAAAACATCGGGTTTTTCGAGGAAATCAACACCACTCGCTTGTATTTTTCAATATCTATAATGCAAAACTTCCCATTTATACACGTTTTGAAATCATTCATGCACCAACTTATGGATCTTCACACTTTAGTAAACAATTGTCTTTTCAGAAAATATCGGATTTTCTAGGTTTTATAAACTACACAAATCATTTTTATCACAACCCTGCTTATGAACTCCCAACATTTCATATGTTGACGTTTTTCAAAATAACTTGTATTCTCAGGTAACAGGTAAGCTGAAGGGTAATATCAAGTATGTTAAGATGTTATGTTTTGAAAACTCTCAAACAATTGATGCTATGGATATGTAATATTTAAACAATGTACTGGATGTGAACAATGTAAATCGTTATGTATTAATGCATGGTGAAGTTTATGTTGTGTTTCATGTATAATCATTGTGATGATATTCAATTTAAGTCACGCGAGCCCTCGGACGTTTCCGCCGTCTGGTTCGGGGGTGTGACAGTACGTATATATATATATATATATATATATATATATATATATATATATATATATATATATATATATATATATATATATGCGTGTGTGAGTGTTTGATAAACACTTAAGAACATATTCATAGATTCAATAACACTTAAGAACATCTTCCACCACCACCGTTCGACCATCGTCCGCCACGACCACCGTCTGCCACCTTCATCTCCACCTAAATTTTTTCTTCCACTTCATCTCCATCAAAAAATCATCCTAGAAACAAAAACCATGCAAACAAATATGGGTTTGTTCTTAAGTTCGCCCCTATCTGATGAATACATACACAAAATCATATCTGATGAACACACACACACACACACAAAATCAGATCAAATGTACACACACATACACATACGAAATCAGATGAACACATACACACAAATCAGATCATATGTACACACACGAAATCAGATGAACATACATACAAAATCTGATGAATACACATACGAAATTAGATGAACACACACAAACACACACACACACAAAATAAGATATGAACACACATACTTACACAAAATCAAATGACAAAATCAAATACACGAAATCAGGTGAAATCAATTGACGATTTCCTAGGTTTCCTTTCTCAGATCTTACATTGACACCAAATTTTCTGGGTTTCCTCTTCAAAACACACATAAAAGAAATCAGATGACAATTTTCTGGGTTTGTGAAAAAACGATTTTATGGGTTTTTTTAAGAATTATCGTCGTCGACCACCCCTCGTCATTCCTCTTTCTTCTGTTTCTCGGTTTTCGGGTTTGATGACCTGAAAGCTCCATGAAATCAAACCCTGTTAACTTAAACCCCCCAGACCTCGTCGAACCAATCGTCAGAACTAGAGTTTCCAAATCTCGTTGTGCCCGGAGATATACATCTGAGAGATGTAGGCAATAGAAAATGTTCTTCATCGGAAACGAAGTCGGTGCAGGTGAAGCTTGTGTTCCAACATAATATATGGTGGTGATGGTGTGGGTTTGATTTTATTTCCCTTAGTAGAGGTTCCAGTTGGGCGGATGACAAAATAAGAGAGAGAGAGAGAGAGAGTTTCTGTATTTTAATTTTTTAATTTTTGTAATCAAAATGAAAAAATCAAAATTAAAAAGGAAAATTTGTCATTTAAATTTTCAAATAACTTTGGACCAAATCACAACAAATAAAACTTTTTAGATCACTAGTATAATTCCAAAATATTTTGGACCAAACATCCAATTTTTGATATAACATACGGACCAAACTTGCAATTTTATCAAAAATTAATTAGTTATTGGTTAATCTTTTTATTTGATTTTTTTTTCTTATTAAATGAAAGTTGGAAAAAGAAGAGAAAACGGTAGCAACTGTTTTTATCTATTCGAGATGGACACTCTCTCTCTCTCTCTCTCTCTCTCTCCTTTTTATATTTCAAGCTATCGTAACCTTTTTGCAACATGTCTGCCACTCTCTAACTGCCGCTTCGAATCTCTCTAATGGCGTCTCTGGTGAAGAAGGGTAACAAAATCAGTCAAATCGTCCGTCTCAAACAGGTCATGCAACGATGGCGTCGACGCTGTATCAATACCGATTCCTTCACGTCTGACTCAGAATCCGAAATTGCCGCGACTCGCCAACAACCCCGCATCCCCTCCCCTGGATCCCTCGCCGTTTACGTTGGAGCGGAACGTCACCGATTCGTCATTCCGACGCGGTTCCTGAACATGCCGGTGTTTGTGTCGTTACTCAACAAGGCCGAGGAAGAGTTCGGATTCCAGACGACCGGTGGACTTGTCATCCCTTGCGATGTGATTTTCTTCAAGAGGTTGTTGAAGGTTTTGGAGAGCAACGAGACTGGAGTATGTGCGCTGGACTTAGACGATTTCACGGCGATGTTTGCCGATTTGGCGATCGATTCTTCTTCGTACTGTAAGGATGTTAACAATTCTAATTGCCGTAGCTTCACTCCCCTATTACAGAAAGCTAGAGTTTGAGACGAGGTGCGGCGTCTTAAATGCCTACCCGATCTTGTGCGATGTCACAGCACAGGTTCGTGTCCCATCTCTTTTGTCAATTGGGGGTAGGTGTAGGGTTAGGGTTAGGGTTAGGTTTTGAATTTTGTGTATAGATGGTGGATTGATTAAATTCGATCCCCTCTAGTCTTTGTCGAGTTTGCAAGCATCCTTGAACCCAAATCTGTTGATGTTCTATGATTAAATGGGTTTCAATGAGATGAAATTGCCAAATTATCCCAAATGTGGGGGTTGCTAGGGTTTTTTTTTCCTGTAACAAAATCATGCTTCTAGCAATTTAGCAATTGTGATAATTGATGATGAATATTTTTTAGGGTTTGATTTTGAATTTGTTTGACTATGTTTGGTGCTTACTTTGATGCTCGGCTGTTTCGTCCCTACATTCTGCCTCATTTACAGCGTCAAAGAAATGCAGCTTCGACAATCGTGTCCCCAATCCACAATTGAGAGGCTAAACTAGGCCCATTAAATGTTATGAGGGAATATTTATTTTAAAACGGATATTCAAATATATAATATGCATTTTGGACTAAACTTATAAGGATATAAAAAAGTTGATTCTTTAATTTCAAAAACAATATTGAAACCGGATGAATATTTCTGGAATCTTTATACAATGTTTTGTTTTATTGAAATCTAAAAGAAAAATTAAATATCAATTGTTTTGAAAAACCCGATGTTGTACAACTCTTAATAAAATATGGATCATTACTATGTTACGACCCTAGATCTATAGGGGTGGATTTGGTACGGGGAAATAGAAAGTTGCAGAGAATGAAAATGCAGAGAAAAAAAATTAAGTTGAAGAAAGAGAATTGACTTCCCTATTTGGTAGAACTGAGAATCCATTAGATAAATGTTTTTTGAGAATCATTTATCTTGTTTGGTTGTATTAATCAATAAAATGGAAATGAGTTTTTTATATTGTTTATTCATTTTCAAACAACATTTTTATAAAAATACATTATGATGTACATCTTAATTAGTCAAAATATGCATCTTTTATGTTTTTAATTTTTTTTTATTTTAATATTAATTGTTATTAAATAATTTATTTTCTAATCAATTAATATTATTTTGTATACATCTTATATTGGAAAACATATTTCTAATATAAAAGAATAACTTACAAATAGATTTTAAAGAAATATGAAAATCATACCATTCAAAAACTATGTCCAATCTGGATATGCAAAAAGTATAATTCAATATTCCAAACAATTAAAAAAACATAACTATGTCTAATACAGAATGTGCAAAGAGTCAACTTCAATATTCGTAAAAAAAAACATAACTTAAAATAACATAATCATGATATTGAGCCACCCGCAATCATCTCCATGTAACAAATCTTTTCTTCTTCTGTCATCATAAAAAACGTCCGGGCATGATTTGTTAAACATGTCACCTTAATTCGCTGTTTGACATTGATATTTGGCATGCGTTGTATATATTCGATAACTTTATCTATCATATCACATGCTTCCTTATTTTCTTGCCTTCCTATATTGTATATTGTTTCATTAAGTTTTTCACCAACCTCCTTGAAAGTATCTTTCATTTCTTTCGCAACTTCCTTATAAGAGCTTTCGGTGTCATCCGTTGGAGGCCTTTTGCGTTTACTATTGCCACGAGCAATTTGTTGCGTCTCTTCAACAATATTTTCCAACCCTTCCACATCAACAGGTGAGCTTCTTTGTGTCTCTTCAATCACATCTTCTCTGAGATCAGTAGCTCCATGACCAGTAGCTCTATCATTACCGAAGATTTTACATAGGTTATCGAATTGGGGAAATGGTTTATCGCGAAAACATACAACACCTTTATGACTCTACAAGAATGAAACAAAATTAATTGGTTACTATTCATTTACAATATGTTTTAATGATGCAAAAATACTACAAACATAATCATTATAGTACCTTTATGTACTCATCCCAAACTTCAGCATCGACGGTAACACAACATTTATCCGTATCCCAGCCGAATCCACTCGTGTTTGTTCTGTATACCATGTCGTGCATGATGTTGAAATGGTTTTTCCATGTCTTCATCCTCGATTTAATGAGGCTCTGCTTTTAAACCCAAGTTAGGAAGACTTACATCTAGTAATTGTTGCACTGCCTTTAAATAACCAGGTTTGAATCCGTTATCGGCACCATTATACTTTCCGGATACATGTAACTCCAACAATGCTTCAATTAACTTTGCATCCTCTTCAGTAGTTCATGTGTGTTTGTTTCGTCCAACCATGCCTACAATTTTTTACAATCCTAACATTAAACATAATATTATCATACCACAATGAATACAAAATATTATAAAACAATCCTAACAGCCCCTGTTTGAGGCTGTATATCTCAACCAAAACTTAACAAATTAACCTGTTTTTTGATGCTAAAAGGTAGACAAGATAGAGGAGTACAATCTGAAAAAAAATTGCATAATTCCGAGCATGTATGGAGATTTTATGATGGTTCAAAGTTGGACAAAATTTATAAAAAGTGATGAAATATTATACAACAATCCTAACAGCCACTGTTTAGGGCTGTATAGCTCAACCAAAACTTAACCAATTGAACTGTTTTTTGATGCTAAAACATAGACAAGATAGAGGAGTACAACCTGGAAAAAAAATCGCATCGTTCCGAGCTTGTATGAAGCTTTTATGATGGTTCAAAGTTGGACAAATTTTATAAAAAGTGCTGAAATATTATGCAACAATCATAATAGGCCCTGATTGGAGTTGTATAACTCAACCAAAACATAACCAATTAAGCTGTTTTTTGATGCTAAAACGTAGACAAGACAGAGGAGTACAATCTGGAAAAAAATCGCAACATTCCAAGCTTGTGTGAAGCTTTTATGATGGTTTAAAGTTGGACAAAATTTATAAAAAGTGCTGAAATATTATGCAATCATAACAGCCCATAACAGCCCATGTTTGGGGCTGTATAACTCAACCAAAAACTAACCAATTAAGTCGTTTTTTGATGCTAAAACGTAGATAAGACTGAGGAGTACAATCTGGGATAAAACGTCGCATCATTCCGAGCTAATATGAAGCTTTTATGATGGTTCAAAGTTGGACAATTTATAAAAAGTGCTGAAATATTATACAACAATCATAACAGCCCCTGTTTGGGGTTGTATAACTCAAACAAAACTTAACCAATTAAGCTATTTTTTTTCTGCTAAAATGTAGACAAAACAGAGGAGTATAATCTGGAAAAAAAAATCGCCTAATTCTAAGCTTCTATGAAGCTTTTATGATGGTTCAAATTGGAGAAAAAAAAAATCTAAAAAATCTGAAATTGTAAAATAAATTGCTTTTGTCCATTCAACTCAAGCATAAACAATGAACAAATAGCAATTGATCATCATTGAACACTTATCTACATGATTCAACCACCAAGATCGATTTCAACATAGGAAGATTCAAACATGTAAAAAGATGCAATTCATAAACAAAATTCACAACAAATTAGCACAAAATCGGCCAACAAGGAGAATAAAAAAGAAACATGAAGTCATACCTTCAACTGGAAGAGGATCGATGATGCCAAAATCGACCAAGATGCTGCTACAAAGAAGAGTGAAGTCGTGACGGGAATTCTTATGATCACTACGATTCTATGATATCCAGTAGCGATCGTTTGAAAAAACTCAAAAATTGCATGTACTGGGGATCAAATGTGTGTGTGTGTGTGGGGGGGGGGGGGGGGAGGGGCTATGAATTCTCCGTTTTTTTATTCTCGACCCACGCACGACTTCCTTTTCTCCCCTTTTCTCTTTTAAAAATAGATAATTATTTTGATGGAAAATGAATTGGTTTATTTCTCAATTCCTTATTTTTTTATTAACCAAACAACGAAAAATGAATTAATTCATTTTCTCTGCTTTTATTTCCCTGTACCAAACACCCTAGATGTTTTAAAAAAAAATGGTTTTGCCATCCAAAAAAGGATTGTGACGCAACTTGTTGTTTGTTTACCCGTTACATCTATATAAAACTTTTATGTTTAATTTATTATTAACCTACTCAAATTGGTTAGAAGTTAATATAACTTGTTTTTCAATAAAATGTTATATTTTAAGTTTGTGTCATCTACTTCTCATTTGTTATGTTTTTTTTTAACTTTTTGTGGATTTCACTAAAAATCAAAACATTTTCTTAAATTTTGAAAATTTTTATTGGATTTCAGACTTGTTTTTGAAATTTCATGATAGTTTTTCTATGTTCGAAATCTGAAATATATATAAACGTAAACTTAAATGATTACTTTCAATTACGTAAATCAATAGTTCAAACCACACTCAAAGGTAGAACATTTCCCATTTTTATAGGAACTTTTGTACCAGAAATAATATTTTTGCTTTTTTTTATATATTATTCCTTAAGTCCCATAGGTTTGATCATTTATAATTGGACTCATTTTCTCATTGATCGAATACATACGCTATACATCTGCCTCTCTTCCACTTATTTACCCATGAAATTTTGAATACTTGAACGATCAATTCTTTTCATATTAAAAAAAGAATATTTAATTGTGATAAAAAAAAGAAAAATAGAACCGTAGGTATCTGGTAACCATGTATGTAGGGGTAGAATCGGTAATTTGACAGGAAAAGCAATAAAAAATCCAATATAGAATATTATTTCCAAGGGAAAATGCTACTGTAGCACAACTAACTTTTGGGTTTGGTTTGATTTGACCAACTATGTTATTTTTTGCACAATAGACCATTAATGTTTTGCTGTAGCTGTCAATTACACCAGTGTGACCGATTTGAGAAGGTTTTCTGGTTTCACATCCTACCTGACATCTGACGTGTAGGGGAAGCTAATTGGAAACTGCCATGTTTTTTCCAAGTTAACTCCACGTCAATTACCCCCTTATACAAAAAACTTAAAACTCGTAAATGGAACACCCTCACCTTCAATCTTTCCATTTCCATGTAAGCTTCTGTCGAGCACAGATCCAAAGCAATGTCATGATCCTCGATCTCTTCTTCCAGAAACCCTCCTATCCGAATAGGTAAGTTTAGGGAGTCAAATGAGCTGAAAACTTGTGGGTGTGACAAGTCGGCGAATGAACGAACGAGCTGGAAATATCATGACCCGAGAAGGCGATTCTGGAACTGTCGCAACAGTTTGGTAAGCTCGCATGCTCGTGATTTCTTGTAATCTTCAATAATAATATGATTTGTAGCATTTATGAATTTAGATAAGCCTAAGAAAACCCTAACAGTGTAATCTCGTTGATTTTTGTGAAAATGTTGAAAGGAATGATTTGTTTGTAGCATTTATTTAGTGTATATAACTCTAAGATCTCATACAATTTGACAATGGTGTATATTTCAGACAACATTAAAAAGCTGTGATTACTTCTTTTGGAAAGACGATGAGCTGCCTGAGGGGTACTACAAGAACCTTATCAGAACATTAAAGCAACAGGTAGAATCAATGGAGGACTTGGCTGAACTGGTCAACCTTAGGAAGAGGGTTGTGGAGTTGGAGTTTCTGGTTTCAACAGAAAATTCGGTTATTGACAAGCTTGAGAAGAAGGTAACAAATGAGAAGGAAGTTGTGATGATTCTTAACGACAAATTGGATGCTTCCATGCAGTAAAATTGCATGTTGAAAGTTGTGGTTGTGATCATTCTATGGTTGTTGCACTTTGGTGCTTTAGTAGAAAGGAACATTGAATTAAGTGGGAGTAGGGTGTTTGGGTATATGTAGATGTCTTTTGGTCATTGATGTAATTAGCTTTTGGTGTTTATGTACTAGTGTTGTCACAGCCATAGTATGTTGGTTGTAGATCCCAACATTTAGTAGCTTATTTTGGAAACTGCCAAGACAAATGTGTATGGGCATTTTTGTAATTGTTACCTAATATAACAACATTTGCTTCTTTATTTAATGAAGTAGTAGATCAAGTATATTGTTTAATTTTTGTGAGGACTGTTAGGTATAGAAGAAAACGATAAACAAAAACATATATGAGAAATATGAGAGATCAGAAACGAAATCACAGCACACATAACACATGGATTTAAGTGGTTCACACTATCTTGCTATAGACTACGTCTACTGTCGAACTAGAGAGAGAGAGAAGAGAGAGAGAGAGAGAGAGAGAGAAATTTTATTCTACACAAGCTTTTCTGCTACAATGTTACAGATACGACAATTCATAAATATATAAATGAGAAAATCTAACCTAAACCTAAAAGACCAAGCCCGACTGAAAAAAAAAACACAAAAAAAGCCCAAAATTTTTTTCAGTCTTTAAAATTCTAGATCTGGTGATAAGTCTCCAGATCTAACAATCTCCCACTTGGAGGGTTGATCATCATTCAGCTTCTAAAAAAGACTATATCCTCTGTAACACTTGTCTATCTCTCTAGTCCCTGCCTTCTCTTCAAGTTCCTGGAAGCCCAGTTGAAGCCATGCACAACTTCAACTTATCAGTTGGTACCACCTTAGTAAACATATCAACTGTATTCTTCGTACCAAGAATTTTATTCAGATTTAGTGTACTATCAGTTAACAGTTCTTGTACGAAATGATATCGCATCTTTATGTGTTTCGTTCGACTGTGAAACAACGGATTTTTCGTGAGATGCATTGCACTTTAAATGTCATAGTGGAGAACACAATCTTCTTGTTTTATTCCCAGTTCTGACAGAAAATTCTTCAACCATATCAACTCTTTGCTTGCTTCTACAATGGCCATATATTCTGCCTCCGTAGTTGAAAGGACAACCCTTTTCTGAAGTCCGGACATCCTCCTAAATCAGCATCAATGAATCCTTCCAAAATCACTTTTATTTCTGCTGAAACATAGAGCAACTTCATAAGTACCTTTCAAGTAATGCAACAGCCACTTGACCCCTTCCTAATGCTCTTTTACCTGGATTTGACATAAATCTGCTCACAACTCCCACTGCATGTGCAATGTCCAGTATGGTGCACACCATAATGTACATCGTGTTGTCAACTGTTGATGCATACGAGATTTTGGCCATTTCCTCTTTGTCTTCATCAGTCTTTGGGGACTAATTCTTGGAAAGTTTTATCTGACTTCCCAAAGGTGTATTTCTTGGTTTTGCTTCAGTCATGTTGAACTTTTCTAGAATCTTTTTGATATACTTATTATGTGAAAGCTTCACAGTTCCAACAACTCTATCTCTAACTATGCTCATCCCAAGAATTTGTTTGGAAGCTACCAAGTCCTTCATCTCGAACTCTTTGGAGAGCTGCTACTTCAGTCTGTTGATTTCCTGTATGTCTGGTCCAGCAACCAACATATCATCAACATATAATATAAAAGAATAATGTAAGAGGACCTGAACTTTTTCAGATAATAGCAATGGTCCATCTCACATCTCTTGTACCTATTTTTCTGCATGAAGCTATTAAATTTTAAATACTACTGCCTTGAGGCTTGTTTCAGTCCATATAAACTCTTCTTCAGTTTACACACTAGATTCTCCTTACCATTTACCAGGAAATCTTCTGGTTGGGACATGTAAATATCTTCCTTAAGGTCACCATGTAAGAATGCAGTCTTAACATCCAGCTCTTCCAGATGTAAATTTTCAGCAACCATAATACTGAAGACCAGCCGAATAGTAGTCATCTTCACAACTAGCGAAAAGATTTCATTATAGTCAACCCCCTATTTCTGTTGGAAACCCTTTACAACTAGTCTGGATTTATATCTCTTGCTTCCATCTCATCCTTGATTCTGAACACCCATTTATTTTGAAAAGCTCTCTTTCCTACTGGTAATTTGACCACGGACCAAGTATTTTTCTTGTCAAGTGAACCCAACTCCTCCTTCATGGCTTTCTTCCATTTTATAGTGTCTTTTAGTTTCAGCACCTCTGGATAAGACTCCGACTCTCCATTCTTTACCAGTAACAAGTAATTAACTGATGGAGAATATTTGCTAGTCAGTCTTCGATCTCTAGTCGATCTTATGAGATTAGGAGTTTCAACACCTGTCTGATTTGGGGCTTCATTTTCTGATTGATCTGGGATTTCGGTTTTTGAGTCTTTATCTTCGGAACTCCCACCGACTTTAGTATTTATTATCTCTTCAGCACTCTCACTATTTTCTAAGCCTTCACTTGTTTTAGGTTGAAAAACATCAACATCAGTCAAATCTTCGAACACCGCCTTCTGACTTTGTTTGCTTTTGCTCGGAGCCATAGTTAGATCATCTTTATAGATGGCATCTTCATTAAAAGTGACATATTTACTCCTGATCACTTTCATGGTTTGGTTATCCCAACATCTATAACCCATATCATCCAGCCCCTACCCGATAAAGATACACTTCTTAGCTTTGGCTTCAAGTTTGTCTTTTTCTGCATCTTACACCTTGACATAAGCATTACAACCAAATACTTTAAGGTGAGAGAGAGATAATTACCTTTTCTGCCATTCCTCTTTTGGAATTTTAAACTGCAATTTATAAGGTAAGTAGTTGTGCTCACTCCGTCTGCACAAAACATTTTTTGGTAACCCTGCATGTAACCTCATGCTCTTAGCTCTCTAGTTTAATGTTCTGTTCATCCTCTCTGCAACACATTTTTACCGAGGTGCTTCTTGCATAGTATTCAACATACAGATCCCGTGTTCTGCACAATAATCAATAAACTCCTTGCTACTGTATTCACCCCCATTATCTGACTTCAGACATTTTATCTTCATATTCGTCTCATTCTCCATAACAGCTTTGAACCTTTTAAAAGTAGAGAAAACGACATATTTATTTTTCAGAAAGTAAACTCGTACCTTTCTTGTAGCATCATCTATAAAGGTAACGTAATACCAGGAACCTTCTATTGATGAAGCTGATGTGGGACCGAATACATCAGAATGTATCAGCTCAAGCTTCTCTGATTTAGGTGGGTGACCGTAACATCCCAAAACTCAAGACCAAAAATTTCATTTTTAATTAAGTTATTATAAAACCAATAGTATAAAAAAACATCCATAGTGTCATCCCATATCAAAACCAGTATGTCAATAATCAAAACATGTCATAATGAAACAATATCAGAGTATAATCCCAAAGATCTCATGTACGGAAAACATAGTGTGATGCGCTGCGATCATGCCGACTCCTTTCCTTTTGCAAAAGAAGTACCTGAAACCAAAACTGAAAACCGTAAGCACGAAGCTTAGTGAGTTCCCCCATCATACCACATACCATAAAATAAACATACTGCCTAACATATCCGGGTACTGGCCTACCCCTTCGGTCTCTTTCAATCGGTAACTGCCTAGCATATCAGGGTGCTGGCCTACCCCTTCAGTCTCTTTCAACCGGTATCTACCTAGCATATCAGTGTTGGGTTTTAGTATACTACAACATCCTATCGTGCACATACAACCCTAAATTCATTGGATCTATTTTTTCTCTAATTATACATGCAATATTGTTTCCAAAGCATCAAGCCTACAACTAGCAAACAATTGACATAAACAACATAAAATACTAGTTAGGAGTTTACCTCTTTATGTAGCTTGTAGAACTTGTTGTATTTGGCCTTTAAGAACTTAGCACCGCAAGTGTGATGCCTTAAACGACTCACAACACACCTAGGACAATGGAGAACTTGATAGAGATGTTGCTAACTCCAAAATCGGCTCTAATGAACACCAAGAACTCTAGTAGTCGATTTTGGGTGCCAAGGGAGTCCTTTTATAGTGTGTCAAAGTCTAGGGTTACATCCATGTAAACCCTAATGCCCATGTCCTTTCATATTACTTAGGCTCCATGGGTTAAACCTCCATGGACTATCCATGGACTACCATATTGGTTTAGCCCATCCTAAATAACAATTGGCCCACTATAAGAATCATTGATTTACCAAATTAATCCCCATATATTTAATTAGTCTCTTTTGATCACACAATTAATTCCAAATTAATTCTTGATCAATACTAATTAAATAATATGATTTCATATTAATATATTAGAACTTATAATATATTAATAATTAATAAGTAACCTCTTACTCAAGTATCCATCCTATCAAATTGTCCTGGTGATATGCAACCCGAAATGGACCATGCTACTCTCGGGTCAAGTACATACCAATAATAGTTATGGGCATAGACACCTAATCCAACAGTCTCCCACTTGGATAAGTCTAGTAACTATTATTGCAAGTACGACTCCAAAATCCCGACTAGCAATCGTAGCTCTTAAAAGCCGCTGTCGAACTCTGACCTAGTCAATGACGTGTCCATTAGATAAGGGATCATATATTCCTCCATTCTATAAGATATCATATGGATTGAGACATGGATTATAATCATTCTCTCTATCCATCTGTTGTTTCCCGATTTCCGATTTATGACGACTGACTAATTAAACAATTCAAATCAATCCAGGCTTGGCCAAGCGCTTAGGGTGCCATCACTAAATCATCGAGGGGCCCACAAATATCGCTTTTATCCCTTTAAGGGTAAAAGGAATGGATAAAATTCGACTCAAATGCTTGCTTGTACTTACTTATCAAATCACACACAACAATATGTTTTATAACACCAAGTTACTGGTGCGTTTACATATGTCAATGTGCAACCGACTTGCAAATTACAACTCACAT